TTGTATTTGTATAGTGCCTTGCCTTCTAGGGTTCTATAGGGCACTTCACAACATACCTGTCATTCACCATTCACACACACTTTCACACTCTGGTGGTGATGAGCTACATTGTAACCACCGCTGTTCTGGGGCGCACTGACAGAAGCCAGTGCCACCAGTCCCTCCAACCACCACCAGCAGTCAAGAGAAGTTAAGTGCCTTGACCAAGGACACATCAACTGTGACAGACTGAGCAGGACTCAATCCCACAAACTTCCAATTACAAGATCATCACTTAACCCCACAGTCATCTTGCGTAACAGTTCACACTTTATCCTCATCTAACAACACGCCAAACCTAAACCTAGGCTCATTGAATAAAGTGTAATAGCAAAGTAATGCAAAATACATATAAAAACTTTGAATAAGATTTGTTTTGTTGTTTTTGACAGGTGCCTCCTGGACACTGAAGACTCCAGTTGAAACAACCAGAATGGTTCTTTTTTCAGCTTTTTTAACTTTTTTGGGACTATTTGTGTGTGTTTAGAAAAAAAAATAAACATGTCAAATCAAATGTTGCATTTGTCCTTTAAATTTGTATTTTATTAGGTCAGGTAATTTGCAACATTCATCTATAGCTATCAAAACAACATATCAAAACATTAGGCATTCCAGTTCATTGCAATTATTTTTGCTTTGGCTAAATAATTATGTGTACATTATTAATTTTAAGTAAATAAATAAAATATACTGAAATAAAAAAATGATTTGGGCCAGACCTGGCCCTAACTCGGGCCAGATTTGGCTAAGAATCAGGCCAGATCTGGGCCAGATTTGGTCTGGAATCAGGCAAGATCTGGGCCAGATTTTGCCCGGATTCGGGCCGGATCTGGGCCGGAACTGGTCCAAAATCAGGCCGGATCTGGCCCAGACTGTGGCAGAATCACAGCTTTGAATCCACATTTGGCCCAGAGTTGGCCTGGATTCGGCCCAGATTTGGCAAAACGGATCCGTTCCGGTTTAGGCCCATTGTGCCAAAGGACACCGGTCCGGATCCGTTACCCGGATCTGGCCCGGAATTTTTGTGGACTCCGGGCCATATCCGTTCCGGATGATTTTTGCTGTCTGGGAATTAATATAAACCTAATGCATTATAAATGTTGAATGCAGTAGGACATTTTCTAATGTTAATTGGACCTTAGAACTACTTATTTTGCATCAAATGGGGGTAAAATGCTTTGAAAAAAAACTGGCTTTTTGAAAAAATAGCATTGAAGTGTTTTCAATGTACATTTGTTTATTCAATTTAAGCCTAATAATGATTAGATTTGCAAATATCAAACAACTAAATAACATTAACATGACAACAGTAGAAGGCCTCTCTCCCAGGAGGACCACCAGGTAAAGCCTCTCCTGACCCTGGGGTGTTTCTCAATGACAAGAAACCTTGTCTTGATGTCTTGGCCCTGCCCCGGTTGCCTAGGAGATACATCGTGGGGACGTGTTCCAATGTTCATGTTCTACTGAGGCATGTGTTCTCCGTTTGTTAGCCGAGGATACACAGGAGGTGTCTTGTAGCCTAGCCTTGGTCAAAATTTACCCAGAATTCACTGAGTTAAAAAATTTTTTTTCAAAAGGACGGCGGATCAGAAGCCGGCAGCTACTTCTGGAACAATTTTCAAGTTTAAAAGTTAGTCAACTAATTTAAAATGTTTTTTTTTTTTTAGATCCAAAGAAGTTATCTATGGTCGGTTAGTTGCTTAGTAGTTGCAGCTTCGGGGGCTAGCAGGTATTAACTCACTTATATATTTAATTTAACAAATATATACACAATTTACAAAGTAAAAGGCTTGTTATATATTTATAGTGAAACTAATACGAATAAAATATAAC